GTGTTGCGTTGGGCTAACACGTAATTTCATTGGAGATAAACCAGAAAGATTTCTTGTTGGAAAGACCCTAGTAAGAACAAATGGAGACATTATGATAAGAAATGCCAATGTTTCTTCCGAAACAGTAAGAATAAAAGAAGGAGACATTATTGGAGCTCTCGAACCAGTGAAGCAAATATCGAACTGTGACCTACCAGATAAGCGACATTTTGTGAAATCCAAATTGGATACAGACTTCTTGATACAGACTTTGGCGAAATCATGGAAACATCTCGATCCAGATAGACTTCAAGAAGCCACAGATTTCATTTTGAAAGAAGCAGACGTATTTGTGATGGACAATCAAACGGGACGAACCAGCTTAATTCAACACAAAATTGATACTGGATTGGCACACCCAATTAGACAACCACCACGACGTATGCCAGTAGTTAAGCAACAGGAAGTGGAAAACCAAATTGATAAAATGCTTCAAGAGGGAATCATTGAAGAGTCAAATAGCCCATGGTCCGCGCCAGTAGTACTGGTTACGAAGAAAGATGGTAGTCTTAGATTTTGTGTGGACTACCGAAAGCTTAATGACGTCACCAAGAAGGACAGCTTCCCTCTCCCAAGAATAGACGATACACTAACAACTCTATCGGGCTCCAAATGGTTTTCCACCTTGGATCTCAAAAGTGGATACTGGCAAGTGGCAATACATGACGATGACAAAGAGAAAACTGCCTTCAGTACCGGAAGCGGGCTATACCAGTTTAATGTAATGCCTTTCGGATTGTGTAATGCTCCAGCTACGTTTGAGCGACTGATGCATCTTGTTTTGCGAGGCCTTACATGGAGAACTTGCCTGGTATATTTGGATGATGTCATGATTATGGGAAATTCGTTCCAAGAACATCTTAATAACCTGAAAGAAGTTTTTGACCGCCTCCGGAATGCCAACTTGAAACTCAATCCAAATAAGTGTTTCCTATTTCAAAAGAAAGTGGAATTCTTAGGTCACGTGGTATCTGAAGAGGGCATACAAGTTATGGAAGGAAAAATAGATGCTGTCAGGGACTGGTCAAAACCACGCGACAAACATGAACTAAGGAGTTTTCTAGGATTATGTTCTTATTATCGAAGATTTGTGGAAGGATTCGCCAATATAGCTGCTCCACTTCATCGATTAACAGAAGAAAAATCAACATTCAATTGGACCCAAGAATGCGATTCCGCATTTAGAAGATTGAAAGGAGCATTATGTACGAGCCCAGTGTTGTCCTATCCTGATCACAAAGGCATGTTGATTTTGGACACAGATGCAAGTAACACCAGTGTTGGAGCTGTCCTTTCACAAATCCAAAATTCACAAGAACATGTCGTGGAGTACTACAGCAGAACATTATCAAAGCCAGAACGAAATTATTGTGTCACCAGAAGAGAGTTGCTTGCCATAGTAAAAGCAGTCGACCATTTTCATTAGTATCTCTACGGACGCAAGTTTCTAATTCGAACAGATCACGCAGCTCTAAAATGGCTTTTAGAAATGAAAACTCCTGAAGGACAGCTTGCTAGATGGATTGAAAAATTCCAGCAATACGATTTCCAAATTAAACATCGCCCTGAAAACCTGCATAAAAATGCTGACGCTCTGTCTAGACGGCCATGTAAAGAAGATTGCAAACATTGTCAAAGAATCGATATACATGAGAAAAACACTAGTCCAGCTGTAAGAAGAACGGGCCTGATCGTCGATGACAAATGGACTACCAAGCAAATGAGAGAAGATCAGGAGGCAGACCAGGACATCGGGCAAATTCTACATCTTAAAGAAAATGATGAATGTAGGCCAGAATGGGGGGAAGTGTCAAACAAAAGCTTGATTTACAAGGCGTTGTGGGCCCAGTGGAACTCTCTGGCCGTAGAAAATGGTTTGCTCAAAAGAGTTTGGGAAAGTGCCGATGGGAAATCCACTAAGAGCCAACTGGTAATCCCAAAAGACCGAGTGGAAGATGTATTAAAAGAAATACACGACGGAACCTCAGGGGCACATTTCGGAGTTAACAAGACTTTGGACAAAATTCGGGAACGTTTTTACTGGGTTCACTACCATGAAGACGTTAAAAGCTGGTGCCGAAAATGCGACATCTGTGCTACTAGTAAAGGCCCTAAACTAAGATCTCGAGGGCCCATGAAACAGTACAACGTTGGTCTTCCATTTGAGAGAATAGCGATAGATGTAGCAGGACCGTTCCCAGAGTCAGAGCGTGGTAACAAATACATCTTAGTTATCATGGATTACTTCAGTAAATGGCCAGAAGTTTTCGCTATTCCCAATCAAGAAGCCATCACTATTGCCCAGGTGCTAGTGGACGAAGTTTTTAGTCGTCATGGTGTGCCACTAGAGTTACATTCAGACCAGGGACGAAACTTCGAATCTGCTATCTTTAAGAAAGTTTGTGAGATCATGGGCATTCGTAAGACAAGGACGACACCTTTACACCCTCAATCTGATGGCATGGTGGAACGATTCAATAAGATCATAGAGGAACACCTGACAAAAGTGGTCGCAAAGAACCAACGAGATTGGGACAAGCATTTGCCTCTATTTTTAATGGCTTACAGAGCGGCTGTTCACGATTCAACAGGTGAAAGTCCGGCTAGAATTGTTTTTGGAAGGGAACTCAGGTTACCTTGCGATCTGATGTTTGGAGTACCCGAAGAAGAACGAAGAGAAATCCGAGATTATGCCGACGAAGTAAGGGCACGACTTCTGGGTATCCATGATTTTGCTCGGGAGCATATTCAACTAGCCAGTGACCGAATGAAGACCAGATACGACTTGAAGGCCAATTCGGTCGGATTTCAAGAAGGTGATTTAGTGTGGTTATATAACCCAGTAAGGAAGAAAGGAGTATCACCGAAATTGTCTTCAGCATGGGAAGGACCCTATAGAGTAATCAAGAGGATCAATGATTTGGTTTATCGAGTCCAGCGCAACACCAGGAGTAAGATGAAAGTTGTACATCTGGACAGGTTGGCGAAATATCATGGGCGAGAAGTTGATCGGGACGATCAACCTTAAGAGGAGGGCAGTGTCACAATAAGCTAAACGTCCGCCAGGCTGTCAAGAATCTCTCGGTATTATCTCTTGAGTATACTAGAATCTAGTGAATTATTCTACTTAATTCGGGAAAATAATATTATCGTGTATTCTAGATTTTACAGGAATAGATTTAGGGATATATAAGAAGGCCGGCATTGGTTTGTAGTTTAGTTTCAGTTCGAGTGTGATACGATTTAAATAGTGATTGTAAAGAGTTGAATTGTTGAGTTTGTTAATAAAGTAATTAGTGTCAGAGTGTTTTGTTAAGTGGAATAAATTATTGCTGTGTTAATTGGACTTTGATTTTTGGAATAAACGAAACGAACAACGAACCCAAGATTTTTGTCAGCAGGCAACCCAAAGCCGCGACAATACCTTTGAAATAAAGTAGCATTCGACCTCGACCTACCTCCCTTATCTTGATGAACGTTACCCTTCTTAAAGGGAAACAAAAAATTAAAATTGACGTGTCCGATAAGAAAGTGTAAATTTGAGAATAACAGGTCAAGAAAATTGTTTCATATTTAGCCCATGGCAACTTTGACAGTGAATATCTTGAGAACAAATCATTCGATTTTCAAAAAAAAAAACGCACTTGTGATGAGAATCAAAATTCCTTTAAAACAAGGTACCACTTGATCCATCTTCCCTATCTAAATAAGAGGAGTGAAAGTCACCCTCGATGGAGTCAAAAAGTTTCCGCCTCAAATACAAAATTGACGTGTCCGAGCGTTTTTTCAATCGATCCTCGAATCGGCCTCAAAATACCCTAAAACGCCTCTGTTTCGATGTTCATGAAACACCCTGTGTATGAAAGGTATATTTAAAAAAGATGATTTTAACCAAAGTTTTACACGATTGAAACCGAGAAATTTACGTTTAAAGTTTTTTTCGGGCCATAAGAGCTAATGGTAATTATTTTTCTACTTGCGTGCGCAAAGCTATTACTTTGCACACTCATTTGCGTGCGCAAAGTTGAACTTTGCGCACGGGAACTCTTTGCGCACTCATTTTTGTTACGCATAGTTACCACATTTATAATCGATTCTTCAATGTTTTGTGGGTTTCTGGATAACTTATATTCAGAAAGAAGGGTCAGATGTTATTTTTGTTCTAAGAAAGGCATTGTTTAATTTGACACGTTCTGTATGGAAGTGAGGGAAGGGAAAAATCCAGCAAAAACAGATGTGAGGTCAGGTGACCATTGGCATTTAGAGCCACCAGCTAACATTCCTTTGGAGTATCAGATTATGAAAGTTGGACTGTGAGTTATACTCCTCTATACCAAAATTTGGCAGGGAAAACAAACTTAACGACTTGTTCAAATTTTAAGTAAACCTCGCTAGCACAACCAATGTTGCAAATAAAGTCAAGCTGGTTACTGAAAAGAAATTGAAAACACAACACATTGAACTAGGAGAGAAAATTATCAATTTTGAGCATCTGGAAACATTTAATAAGATTAGGAGGTACAGCTCCTCTGGATCCAAATCTTCAAACACTCGTAGAAAGAGTATTGTTCTTAACACTTGCGCAAAGTGTGTTTCCCGCAATCAAATTGCTAAATTGAACTATAGGACATCTAACATATATTGGGGCTCAAATTTAATGTAGAATCCAAAACCATAATATTCAAAAATGAATCATTCCATTTAAATTAGGCAAGAAATGTAACATTTTTTGCTATACATAGAATCTAAAACGACTTTCCATTTTTTTAATGATAAATGCTCCTAATTCCTCATAAAAATCCCAACAACTTTTATATTCAACATTTTTTTTGTATGTCTCCAATTACCAGGTATGTAAGGTAAAAAGCACTTGGATAACCCTGTTCATTACTTTATGATGGACGCACTGTACGATGTCTAAAATTTAGACACATTGGTCTAAAAAAGTTTCTACTTTTTAGCTATAAAGCTGCGTGGGAATTTGCTGAAAAAAATGGATGTAGAGGGGCTGGTGATCCAAGTTTGCCATTGACAAGGACGAATACAGCTTCTACTAGTCAGACTAACTGTTTCACGTTGACCCAGTACAACCCGATACCGTCCAACGATTGTCAGTATATTCAAATTCACATAACAAATGTAAGTTACGCTCGTTTTAAAAAAAATAAATGTATTTCTGTTGTCATGTTCATATTATTTGCTATAAATATTATTGCTTGCTACCGCATTCCGAAACCTGCAATTTTTAGTGTTTCTACTTCCACATAAATTATTGCGTTAATGCACACTTTTGATAACACCTCAGCACCTGTAACCGTCATAAAGTTGTATCCAAATGTTTTTTGCCCCATTAAACTTTTCAAAAAAAATTGACTTCAGAAAGCTCATATAATAATCTATTTTAAAAGCTTAACATTTCGGAAGTATCTTTGTTCCTAATTAAGTTAAGTGGATAATAATTTCGACCTACCTTTTCATATGGATTAATCTTTTTTTCTAGCATATTGATGCTGGTCATTTCTGGGTCCAAATCGCCGACGAAAGGACTACCGAGCTGTTAGAACAGATAGAAGAGGCCCTCAATGGGCAAGCTTTGCAGCGAGTAGATGAACAGTTGAAACTTGGAAAAATTTATGCTGCCAAGTTCAGAGAGGACAATTGTTTTTATCGATGCAGATTAGTTGCTGTGGCGGGTGCTATTAATCAGGTATGTTTATGTCAGAAAAAGTAAATTCAAGTAAAATCGCATCATAGATTTGTACTTTTATATTTTCAAGTAAATAACATATGTGTCAACTTAACTTAAATATTATGTATATGTACTCATTTTAGAAGAGTTTTTTTTTTAGATTCTTTTTATTGATTATGGTAATATTCAAGAAGTGAAAATGGAAGAATTGTATTATTTGCCCCAACGACCCCAATGTTTTGTTGCTCCCTTAGCGTTTGAGTGCGTTATGTATGGTATAAAGCCCTCATACAAGTGCAATCCCACTGGAACATGGAATGAGGAGATTAATGAACATTTCAGGAATATGTCTTCCGGCATTGTGTTATATGGAGAGGTAAGTCGTGATTCTGTACTCAAGAAATTTCATTTCATTTAGTCATTGATTTAGCACAATATACTAGCTTTGTTTTGGTTCGAAAAAAGGACGGTTCTAGAACGGTTCAAAACAATCGCACAGTTTATTATTGAAATTTGTGACAGCCGAGTCGTTGTCATTTTGTTGATTGATGAACTGTGTGATTGTTTTGAACCGTTCTACACTTTATTTTTTCCCAAGATAGATTTTGACATTGAAAACTTTGAAACATAAACAATAACGCTTGACCCTGATTTGTCGCAAAATGAGGTGTTTCTGCAGGTTAACATCAGTTTTACAATAGCGACCAATAAGCGGCATTAGCGGCATTGTTTATGTTTCAAAGTTGACAATGCCAAAATCTATCTTGGAAAAAAATAAACCATAGAACCGTCCTTTTTTCGAACCAAAACAAAGCTACTAATTCCACTTTACAAATACGATATACTGGCGCCGTTCACAATTCAAAGAAAAAATCAACCTAAGACAAAAAACCAAAAAAAAACCATCTCAAGGGACATACACATTATTTTCTCTGAGCAAATAATCTTTCAGCTCTTTCTTAAAACTATACATTGAATCACGTCTTTATCGCAAGGGGCAATTTATTGTTTATATTGATAACCCTAAAAAAATCGTATTTTGACTGGGTTGTTTATTTTTTGGTGCTATGAAAAAATCGCTCTGTTGTCGGGTACTATAGTTATGGATTTCATCATTATATATTATTTTGTCCATTAAGCATTGTATTGAGGGGCATGTCCATTCTTGATCTGGATATAAATAGTAAATACCATATCATTATACTTAATATATTTGGAAACAGGCAACCATTGCAACCGTTGCTGCATTGAAAGGATTGAAGTGTATATGTTAGACATACCAAAATTACCCTCATTGCACGATTCTGCATTTTTTGTATTTTTCCTAAAGTATTCTGGTTTAACAAAAACAAAACACTTGCACAACAATTAATATGTGGTACTTACGAGTGTATTATATACAGGAATACAGGGTGTCCACTTAGTGCGATATCGGATGTTAACTCCTTACAGGTTGATGCAAGAAAAAAAAATTAAATTACAAATTGTTTGATACTCTAATATGCATTAGTTAAAAGTATTTTTGAATATACAGGGTGCTCCGTTTATGGAGTATGCGACAGAACTTTGTTATTTTGAATGGAACACCTTATATGTGATGGCATATTTAGATTCTACGTAAAATTCTGAGCAGATTTCATATAATATACCCTATACCTAAGTTCAACTGTTTTGGAAATATTGACAATTGAAAATTCACTTTTTGCAACTTTACCGGGCTGTAAAATATAAACGGTTAATTTTAGAGGAAAACCGATTCTACATTCCTATCTTGGATTTTCATAAACTATCATTTGACACCCACTTTGAATTTAACTGGAGATTAAATTCAACTGGAATTTTCAAGCATGTATTAGGCCTATTCGGGTTTGGAAAAAGTACGGTTCTAGAACGGTCCAGAAGAATCGCACAGTTCATTATTGAAATTTGTGATAGTCGTCGTTGTTATTTTGTTGATCAATAAACTGGACGATTGCTTTGAACCGTTCTAGAACCGTCCTTTTTCCAAACCCGAATAGGCCTATTAAATTCAAAGTTGGTGTCAAATCTTAGTTTATAAAAATCTAAGATAGGAATGTAAAATCGGTTTTCGTTTAAAATTAACCGTTTAGGTTTTACAGCCTGTCAAAGTTGCAAAAAGTCAATTTTCAACTGTCAATATTTCCAAAACAGTTGAGCTTAGGTATAGGGTATCTATACCGGGTGGTCCTCCGGGAATGACATCGATTGCTTATGGGAAAACTGTGAAAGGTAAAAATTTGAAAATTTGGCAACATAGCAATGTCGATGGGGGACATCCAGGTAAAATATTTTCAAGATGGCGGCATTTCCGGTCATACCGGAAGTTGATACCAACTCGGTTATTTTAAATAGAACACCCCATATATTAATGTATTTTTGGATTCTACATAAAATTCTGAGCAGATTTCATGTAATATACCCTATACCTAAGTTCAACTGTTTTGGAAATATTGACAGTTGAAAATTGACTTTTTGCAACTTTGACAGGCTGTAAAACCTGAACAATTAATTTTAGAGGAAACCCGATTTGACATTCCTATCTTAGATTTTTATAAACTATCATTTGACATCAACTTTGAATTAAATCCATGATTAAAAATTTCAGTTAAATTTAATCTCCGTTTAAGTTCAAAGTTGGTGTCAAATGATAGTTTATCAAAATCTAAGATAGGAATGTGAAATCGGTTTTCCTCTAAAATTAACCAATTAGGTTTTACAGCTTGTCAAAGTTGCAAAAAGTCAATTTTCAACTGTCAATATTTCCAAAACAGTTGAACTTAGGTATAGGGTATATTACATGAAATCTGCTCAGAATTTTATGTAGAATCCAAAAATACATTAATATATGGGGTGTTCTATTTAAAATAACCGAGTTGGTATCAACTTCCGGTATGACCGGAAATGCCGCCATCTTGAAAATATTTTACCTGGATGTCCCCCATCGACATTGCTATGTTGCCAAATTTTCAAATTTTTACCTTTCACAGTTTTCCCATAAGCAATCGATGTCATTCCCGGAGGACCACCCGGTATATATAAACGTGAAATTCACTCACTCACTGACTGACTGATTAAACACGAAATGTCGAAAACTACTAAGCCAATCGAGATGAAATTTTGCAAACAGGTAGGTAATAGGTTGGAGATGCTCACTAAGAAATAATATCAACGTGGCCTTAAGCAATCGCCTTGAATAATTAAAAATAAGAAACGGTGTGGTGCGGGAGTGCGGGGAAAAAAATGTAAACAGAAAACGACGTGTCAGCTGTCAAATTCAGAAATATGACAAGCAGAATCAAATTCATAGCGATTTCCATTTGCAGAATCAGCGCAAAAAAAAAAAAAAAATGTTTTTGTCGTTATATTTTCATGCTTTCACCAGAAACGATTCGGAACCGATTCTGAACAAATTCCACCGGTCCCAGGCTAAGCTAACTTCAAGTTTGAGACATGACATTCGCAATTCGTTCACGTATTCGACAGTCTGGAGCAAGGTTCTGGAGTTTTTGTTCGGTTCCAGAACTATTCGCGATAAAATAGGAACCTGAACCCATTCACAAGTTGGGTTCGGGTTGCTCACTCCGAGTTACTCCGATCGCACTCCAGCCGTTATCTGATAAGCTGAAAGGTAATACCCGAACGGCTGAAGTGCGAACGGAATCACTCGGAGTGCACGGAGTGAGCAAGCCAAACCCCTGGGCATGCGCTCTACGATAGTCCTCAATTAGTTCCGGACTGATTCGGAATCGGTTCAAAATATGTTCCGCATTATTAGCAGCGAGTGGCACTTCAAAAAAATTTAACGTCAGCTGTCAAAAATAGTCTTCATATTCTGCAGCCACAAAGCAGAACAAAAAATGTGGTTTACGGAGAGGTGCAGCAAAAATAAGAGTTACATGACCATATGTCTGACGCAACTATCCCCTTAGCTCTTTGAAAGAAGATTACCTAATGCTACCAACACACTACACCTACAAAATTTGTATAGGGCGTGCGAAGCCGCGGGCAACAGCTAGTATTATATGAAATTAACTCAGAATTTTACGTAGAATCTAAATATGCAATCACATACAGGGTGTTCCATTTAAAAAAAAACAAAGTTCTGTCGCATACTCCATAAACGGTCACATACCTCATGAACCCTCTATATTCAAAAATATTTTTAACTATTGCATATTACAGTACCTATCAAACAACTTTGTAATTTAATTTTTTTTCTTGCATCACCCTGTAAGGAGATATCGTCCGATATCGCACTAAGGGGGCACCCTGTATAATAACTTTGGTCCATTAACTCAAATATGCACTGCATCTTGTTGGATAAATAATAATATAGCTCATTTTGCTCATAATTGAATTAGCATGCTTCAAAAATGTCAGCTGATCATCAATTATTTCCTCTACAAAGGCGATTTTCAGCCTGGAATGATTATTATTTGGTTATAACCAATGCATTTCCGCCGTCGCGGTTTTAACCAAAGTAGGGGAAGTTGTGATGTCACATATCAGCTGATTTGCTTTTGGTATTTACCACTTATAACCGATTATAACCCAGCTTTGGACTTGGGTTAATCTTTTGGTTACAGCTTTTTGATGTTATTGTTATTATTTTGGGAATTGGTATTGGTGTTTTGTGATTTTGCAGTTGTGTTGTGGCCTGGCACAATGGAAGAAGTATACGCTCACTCACTCACTGCAATTCACCATGTTTAGATCGAGGTTTAGATCATCCCCAAAGAAAATCTGTTCGATAAACGAGACTAACGAGAGATTCCGCTCCATTTTTTGTACCTAAACAACAAACCATTGTTGAAACGAAAAAACAAATAGGAATAATAAACATAATCCTACACTGCTATAACCAAATCATTTCAGCGATCAGTTCCTTGGGTTATGATTCTTGAGTGGTGGGGGGCTGTGACGTCACACTTGGCTGTCAAAGTTGTCAACAAAAAGAATAACCACGGTATTTACCAATAAATATTCATTCCAGGCTGAAAATCGCCTCAAGTCTACACCATTTCCAGATTCAAGCGGCAGTAAATGATATTTTAATAACCTAAATTGTAAACAAACAACAGCCTTCCTATTGGTTGAAATGCTCTACCTGGACCAGTGCGCATGCACGCAGGACATTTGATAGGTTGTAATGAAAATGATCCATCAATCTCTTTGCCAAAGACCCTTCTTATTTTTTCCGGTACAATAACCATAGATTTTGTTTTTGATGCATTTATCTTCAACTTATTCACACACATATAATTGTACAAATTATTCAGAACATTGTAAGTACCCTTAACCAATTTATTCACATTTTTGGATATTTTGTATACTAGAGTGTCATCTGCAAACAGA